CAAGCCTTCATGATTGTCTTCAAGACCAGTTGGAAGCCATGACGGATTCCAAGCCGAGGAGTGACATGACAGAAATAAACCACTGATTCCAAATCAGAGGAAGGCAGGGGTGCCTGGGTGGCTGTCAGTTAAGTGCCCAGCTCTTGATTTTGGTTCAGGTCATGATCTCAGGGTCGTGAGATGGAGCTCTGCTCCACATCAGGCTCTGAGCTCAGCGGGGAGTCTGCTTGAGATTCTCTCTGCCCCTGCCCCCCACCCCCCACTCTCTCTAAAATCAATAAATAAATCTTTAAAAAAAATCAGAGGAGGGCAGAGTAGAAACAGAGACAGGCTAAGCAGTTTTTAGAGACAGGACAGAGGATGGTCACCTGGCAATGGAGAAAAATGAATGGATTAAGGGGACATGATAAGGTAAAACCAACCTGACCAAGGAGAGGTCTGGGCAGGAAATGTCAATCTGGGCTTATTGAAGAAAAAGGGTCTAGGGCTGAAACTGAAGTGAGAAGAAAAAGGATCTAGGGCTGAAACTGAAGGAATCCTAATATTTTAACATTGAAAGACCAAGTGGAGGAGGATGAGCTTCCTGCAACAGCAACAGTAACTCATTTTTGAAGCTTACTTCATCTCATGCACTGTTGTTGGCTCTATCTTTCTATCTATCTAGCCATCTTATAAAATTTAATTCTTCCAATAATCCTGCAATAACCCTACTAGTAGGATCACGGTTTCACAGAGCCTGGTCTCCCAAACGCTTTGCTCTGAAGGTGCAGCTCTGAAATGGGAGGAGAATGGGACCAGTGTGATGTCCTAGAAATTGAAAGAAGAGAATTTGGAGGCGGGAGCTGGCAAGTGTCAGGTGCTATGGGAAGGTCAAATAAGATGAGATGGGAAAACGTCCTCTGGATTCAATAACATGGAAGCCACTGATAAGCTTAGAAAGGGCTGTTTATGTAGCAATATGGGGCTGGAATCTAGACTGGAGTGTGCTGAGGACTGAGTAGGAGATGAGAGCAGGGAGAGAACAAGAAAAAACAGCTCCAGCAAGAAGCTGGCCTGTGAGGCTAGGGCAGAGGAACCCGCGGCGGCGGGGCAAGGGCGCGGCGAAGGGCCCGGCAAGAAGGATGCAAGATGAACCCAGCCAGGCTCTGCATCTGAGCTGTACACTTGGGCCTGGAGCGGTGGCCCAAAGGAGGGGACGGTCATTTTTTCAAGGTGCAGCCCCGTTTTTGAACTTCATGTGCCTGGAGAGGGCACCTTCTGATTCCCATAAAGGTGTCAGCAGCAGTTGCGCTAGAGGAAGGTGGGAATCAATGGGATTTTTTATTTTTTTAAGATTTTATTTATTTGTCAGAGCAAGAGAGAGAGAGAGAGCACAAGCAGGGGAAGTGGCAGATAGAGGGAGAAGCAGGCTCCCTGGCTGAGCAGGGAGCCCGATGCGGGGCTCGATCCCAGGACCCTGGGACCATGACCTGAGCCGAAGGCAGACACCTAACTGACTGAGCCACCCGGGCGCCCCGGGATTTTTTTTTTTTTTTTTTTAAGAGAGAGAGACTTGTAACTATGTTCAGTTCGAATTGGTGAGGATACTCTGGTTGAGAGTACGTGATTGAATTAACAGGAAGGAGAAGTGGTGATGGATAGCCAGGGCTGGGGCGTCTTCTATCGTCCCCGAAAGACAAAAAGGGGAAGCAGGCCTACTAAGTTAGGTGTGATAGAAATCACTTTACAAAAAACACCTTTTTTTCTTTAACTGAAGTATAACTGATACACAATGTTACATCAGTTTCGGGTGTACGACACAGTGATTGACAACTCTTACATTACACTATGCTCCCCATAAATGTAGCTACCATCTGTCACCATACAACACCATTACGATACCATTGACGATATTCCCTTTGCTGTGCCTTTCATCCCTGTGACTGATTCATTCCATAACTGGAAGCCTGGACCTCTCAGAAAACAACTTTATTTCTGATTGAGCTTTCTGCTGGGCTGGTAATTTGCCTTGGTAATTCCTAGGGTTTCTCTACAAATAGGGCTATATCATAGATCTGGCGTCTTGGGATCATTGGGTTTGGGGCCATATAGTTGCCCCTGAGATGTCACCAACACTGTCCCTGTGATCCTTCTGCTGCCTCCAAGTTGCATCTGGGGCCCAGGAAGGTTCGGGATAGTGCCTCTGTCAAGGTACTATCTGTCAGATAAACCATATAGCCACTTCTTGAGTTCTGCTCTTCCCTGACTCGTTGCCAGGAAGAAGGGCTCAGGTGATCTCTGCTGTGGGGCCCATAGCTTTCACTCTCCCTTCAGCCACCCCCAGCCTAGGGGAGGAGCCAGTGGAGTGCTGCCCTTTCCCTCAGCTTCTCCAGGACACTTCGTCTAAGCCCTCACGCCTTCTTTGTATCAGCTAGCTTTTGCTGCATAACAACCACCCCCAATTTAGTATCTTACAATACACATCTATTATTTCTCACAATTCTGTGGGTCAGCTGGGTCGTTCTTCTGACCTGGGTCAATTTGACTGGGGCTGGAGAGTGTAGCATCTTTCTTTTCCAAGTGTGGTCCTCAGAGCTGCAAAGCCCAGGAGCTTATTAGAAATGTAGGTTCTCTGGCCCCACGCTGGGCTTAATGAATCCGTTTCTGCATTTTCACAAGACCCCCAGGTGGTTTATGTATACATTTAAGAAACACTGGTCTCGGCTATCCTCTCTCACCTGTCTGCCAGTTGGCAGGCTGTGTGGTCGGGTGGGGGTGGGGGGGCTCAGCTGGGACAGCTTATTCCTGGAGCCACGTGGCTAGCCCAGGCTTCTTCAATTGGTGATCCCTGGGTTCCCAAGGGCAGCGGGAGGGCAATCCCCACGGGGGAAGCATTTTCCAAGCCCCCGTTTGTGTCATGTTTACTACTGTCCCATTTGCCCATGCAAGTCACGAGGCTGTCCCAGAGTCTGTGTGGGTAGGCCCTGCCAAAGGGCGGCGAGGGAGGAGGGGGAAATTTTGTGGTTATTTGAAAAACTGACCACACCCTCCACGACTGGAGTTTTGGCTTCTGGAAGGAAACACCAGTGCCTCTTTTGCATTCTGCTCAGCCACATCCCCTCCCTTCAGGTGCACAGAGAGCCTTCTACTTGTTTCAAAAGAGGAGAGGAGGGAAAAGTGGATATATGGCTCTGACAGTGGAAAGTGAGAAATTGCCTAACAGTTTCATTTTCTCTACGAAGTAGGAGGTAAGTTCATCTGTTGAAAACAGGGAGGCGGGTGCAGAGAGGGTTGTCAGAAGTCTGGGGAGAGCAGAGCTGGTTTGAAATCGTCATCATGGAACCTGAGACTGGGAATGGACATGAAAAGTATAGGATTTCAGGGACCATTTGAGGTGGATGATGATAACTTTATCTGTCCTGTGGGGAAAACTTCCTGCAACAGTGTTTGCAGGCAGGGAGAAAGCCCAAAGCAGGGTTTAACAGGGGGATGTTGCTAAATGAGTAATGAAAAGACAAAGTCAGGGAATTTAGGTTATTGGCAGAACTGTTATTAGAGTAACGGTCTGGGGTCTCTTCGCCGAATATGAAAAATTAAGAACAAAGTGGCGGTAGTGGTCAATGAGGTTGCAGAATAGAGAGGATTTGAACAAGTGGCCGAAAGGCCAGAGAACTGTGGACAGATGGCAGGATGCTTCAGCAAGTGATTTCAGAAGTGGGGTAGTTTCTGTGATGAAAAAGACCGGAAATCTTTGTGGAGATGTTCTCATTTTTCCCATTTGAACACCTTCCCCTGGTGGAGAGGAGTAGATTTGCTTTCTATCTTCTGTTAACCTTACAACACCTTCCTCCAAGGGGGTGTTCATTATCCTTGTTCATTATCCCTGCTGAAACAGAGCAAAAATTATCTTTTTCCGTTCTCTTTTGGACTTCAGCAACTTGAAGCTTAATCTGCCTCTTGGACTTCCTGTCACTTTTTCATCCAACCTCGAGTACATATCCCTGCTTATGGGTCCTTTTAAACATTGAGCTCCTGAGAAAGTCCACCATCCTACCACTCTAGTTCTGTAAATGTCTTAAAAAAAAAAAAAGATTTTATTTATTTGTTTGGGGGAGAGAGAGAGAGAGCGCACAAGCGGAGGGGGGGGTAGGGGGAGAGGGAGGAGCAGACTCTCCGCTGAGCAGGGAGCGCAATGTGGGACTCGATCCCAGGACCCCGGGATCATGACCTGAGCTGAAGGCAGACGCTTCACCAACTGAGCCACCCAGGCGCCCCTGTAAATGTCTTTTTGCTCACGTGTCAGAACAGGCTAGGTTATGCGGTGCTAACAAACGACACCCCCCCCCCCAATCTCACACAACGACAGGAGGTACGGAGGTGCTAAAAATTATCTGCATTTTACAAATGAGTAAACTGATCTTCAGGGTGTCTGGAAATGTGCATAGCCCTCGGCGGGCAAAAGCCCTAAGGGAGGCAACACTTGAAAGTTCACATTGATTGCCCTGCGTGAATGCATCAGCGCTTCCAATCCCTCGGGTCCACCACGCAATGTGCAACTGCGTATCTTTATCTTAGCGGAGGAGTTCTCCCACCCAGAGCTCAGTGACACCCCCCCGGGGCTGATGGGGGCGCTGGACGTGGATAGGGACCAGGAGCCCCGCTCTCAAGAGGATGGAGGCGAGCCTGCCAACGACAGAGATGACCAGGCAGGAGACATAAAAACAGGAGAGGCGGTGGAGTCCTCCGGGTGGGGTCCGTGTCCAGTCACTGCGTACATTCCGTACACACGAGCCCCTCCCTTGCTTGAAGTCGATTCATGAAGACTTGACTTCGCGACGGAGGGGTTGGGGAAAGGTGGGGTCTGGCTCGGTGCACCCCAACCATCGTCCCCACCCCGCGGCAACCCCGCCCAGATCTGGCGGAGCCGTGGGCGATCCCGGGCGGGTAAAGAGGCGGGGAGAAGCGGCGAGGTTGAAGGCGGGGCGGCCGGCGGCCAAAGCAGCCAATAGGCGACTCGGCAGCAGCTGAGCCGAGAGAGGGCAGGGGCGCCGCCACCAGCACCACCGCCTCCTAAGTTCCCCCTGGTGGATGCACGGCTCGGTCGGTCGCTCCGCTCCTCCTCCCCCCTCCCGGCGCAGAGGGGCCCGAAGAGGCCGGAGGAGCGGGCTCAGGACGGGATTTCTGAGGAAGGGGAGAGGACGGGCGCCCCACCCGCTCGGAGGGTGGGGGGCTCGGTGAACGATGAAGGGCCGGCGGCGGCGGCGCCGGGAGTCCTGCAAGTTTGCGCTGCTCTTGGTGCTGTACACGCTGGTGCTGCTGCTCATCCCCTCCGTGCTGGACGGCGGCCGCGACGGCGACAAGGGCGCCGGGCACTGCCCGGGCGTGCAGCGCAGCCTGGGAGTCTGGAGCTTGGAGGCGGCGGCGGCGGGCGAGCGCGAGCAGGGCGGGGAGGCGCGGCCGGCCGCGGAGGGGGACGCGGGCCAGCCCCCCCGGCCCCCGGGCAACCTCAGCGGCGCCGTCGGGGAGGCGGTGTCTCGCGAGAAGCAGCACATCTATGTGCATGCCACCTGGCGCACCGGCTCGTCGTTCCTGGGCGAGCTCTTTAACCAGCACCCGGACGTTTTCTACTTGTACGAGCCCATGTGGCATCTATGGCAGGCGCTGTATCCGGGCGACGCCGAGAGCCTGCAGGGCGCGCTGCGCGACATGCTGCGCTCGCTCTTCCGCTGCGACTTCTCGGTGCTGCGGCTGTACGCGCCGCCGGGGGACCCCGCCGCGCGCGCCCCGGACGCAGCCAATCTCACCACGGCCGCCCTCTTTCGCTGGCGGACCAACAAGGTCATCTGCTCGCCGCCGCTGTGCCCCGGCGCGCCCCGTGCCCGCGCTGAGGTCGGCCTCGTCGAGGATGCCGCCTGCGAGCGCAGCTGCCCGCCCGTGGCTCTACGCGCCCTGGAGGCCGAGTGCCGCAAGTACCCGGTGGTGGTCATCAAGGACGTGCGCCTCCTCGACCTGGGCGTGCTGGTGCCCCTGCTGCGGGACCCCGGCCTCAACCTGAAGGTGGTGCAACTTTTCCGCGACCCGCGGGCCGTGCACAACTCGCGCCTCAAGTCCAGGCAGGGGCTGCTGCGCGAGAGCATCCAGGTGCTGCGCACCCGCCAGCGGGGCGACCGCTTCCACCGCGTGCTACTGGCGCACGGCGTGGGCGCTCGGCCCGGGGGCCAGGCCCGCGCCCTGCCCGCCGCACCGCGCGCCGACTTCTTCCTGACCGGCGCGCTCGAGGTGATCTGCGAAGCGTGGCTGCGCGACCTGCTGTTCGCGCGCGGCGCGCCCGCCTGGCTGCGGCGCCGCTACCTGAGGCTGCGCTACGAGGACCTGGTGCGGCAGCCGCGCGCCCAGCTGCGCCGCCTGCTGCGCTTCTCCGGGCTGCGCGCGCTCGCCGCGCTCGACGCCTTCGCGCTCAACATGACGCGGGGCGCGGCCTACGGCGCCGACCGACCCTTCCACCTGTCGGCGCGCGACGCCCGCGAGGCCGTGCACGCCTGGCGCGAGCGCCTGAGCCGAGAGCAGGTGCGCCAGGTGGAGGCGGCCTGCGCGCCAGCCATGCGCCTGCTGGCCTACCCTCGCAGCGGAGAGGAGGGCGAGCTGGAGCCGCCCGTGGAGGAGGAGAAGCCGCTTGAGACCGAGGCCGACGGCGCCACGTAACCCCTGCCCGCCCCGCCCCCCCCAACGCGCGTCCCCGGGACGGATCCGGGTAAGGTGGCCCCGGGCGGGTTGCGGGCAGGGAAGGGTCTTTGGGGAGCTCAGACCAGCCTGCAGGGGGAAGGGGTGGGGGGTGCATGCCGTCCCAGATCTCACGCTGGCTGAATAGATCCGAGCGGGTGGGACAGCGCGGCTGGTAGAATTTGGAAGAGACTCGTCGGGATCGCCAGCGGAGCCACCTGCCCCCTAAGAGGAGGGCCCTGAGACGAGCGGGGTTAAGTGTGGCTGAGGCGGAACCCAGGTCTCCGCACTCCCGGTCCCCCCAGTGAAGTAGGAGTTAAGGTCGGTCACCTGTTGGGAGACTGGGGCGAGGAGAGGGAGAGAGAAGAGGGGCAGAGGAGGGAAGAGGTCTGAGGAGAGTGAAGAAGGTTCGTGAAACAGTCATCATGGAACTTGAGACTGGAAATTGGCATGAAAAGTATCTGATTTCGGGGGCCATTTGAGGCTGATGGCTTTTATCTTGACACCAATCTGTTCCCGTGGGAAAACTGTGCCACAGTGTTTGCAGGCACGGAGAAAGCCCAAAGCAGGGTTTGGTGCAAAGTTATCGACTCTTACCCTCCCTGCCCCTAATCTGTTTCACACTTACTCTCTGCCTCTGTTTCCCTAAAGCGCAGCTCCAGGCCGTGCCTTCTAAGTTACCAACCATTAGGTGTAGACAAGGCCTTACTCGCGACGGTTTTTGCACACGTGTGTGTCTCCTGCTGTGGGCTAGCCGCATCGAATGGACTTTGCTTTCCCCTGGCTCAGGGAACATCTCCCTGCCCCCATCCCCCTCCACGGCTGGCGTTGGCAGGATATTGGACCATATCCCATTCACATCAGGTCACAAGAGCTGCCTAGTCAGCTTCCTCTAGTGCCGACAAGACCCGAGGGCTGGGCTTTCTGCACCCTGCCCCATCCCTCTGGGAGAGGGAATCTTAGAGTGGCAGAAACAGCTTCAGCTGTGGAAAGACACCCCCCCCTCCCGGTTTTTTGTGTCCTTTCTCTATAAAGCATCCATCCGAAGATGCTAAGATGGGCGTAAATGACCTCGGCGTGTGTTCCGTGTCTGGCCTGTACTTTGTTCTGCGCCATGCTGACCTTAGGAGTCTAGTTAGCGGTATGGGAACGCGTTTCCCCAAACTGTGTGTGACTTGGAAGGGGGGCAGGCTTCTGCCCTGTGCAGTCCAGAGGAGGAGGAAAAGCCGGGCCGGGTGGGCGGAAGTGACTTAAGTTTCCATTCATTATTTTATAGTGTAATCCAGTATTCCCCTGGGATGAAGCTCTGAGGACAAAGTTGAAGATGTTAATGAGGATGGATTTGGTGGTTGTTTCATAGACCAGGGCTGCAGATGCTTTCGGAAGCTGACTGATTTTTCTCCCAGTAATCAAGGGGTTTTCGTGGTCAGTTTCTGTAATTGCTAGGAAGTCTGCGTTCTTTCCTGATTTCCAGAGCAAAGGAAGGTAAGGCACAGGGTGACTTGTCACATCTTAACAAAAACATCCTTTCATCTGCTAATCCTGTTTTTGCAGATGTAAGTAGCATAATGGCCCCTCACCCTCCCTCCCAGGCCTGGGGGAAAGCCTCTCTGGGACGAATTCTGCAGCATTTTTATGGCTTTAAGAACTGACGATCTCCCAGAAATCTTCATTGTTTTCATTTTTTACTAGCATTTGCTGAGCTCAGACTGGGGTGAAGAAAGAAAGAGAATAGAGAGGAGGGTAGAGGGTACAATCTGCACCCTTCCCTTAGGAAGTTAGAATCTGGGTGCGTGACATCGGTGCCGCTGTTCCGAAGGCCAGTGAGGCTTCCTTTGCAGGGCGGCAGGGACATCTGGGAGCAAGCTCTAGGCTCTTTCCCTACGTTGGTGACTGAGCCCTTCTTCCCACACTTCTGCTGGAATTATTGGGCACTTACCATGTCGCCATCAGCCAGTGGATTCATCATAATGCGTATATTCCTGGTTCCTAGAAAGATAACCTTACTGATACACTGAGGGGTTGCCAAAAAATCTGCCCCACTCTCCTCTGCGGAAGGGGATGGGTCCCCCTGTGCCGCGCGCCGAGGTAAGCATTGTACAGGTGTCATTACTTTGGCCTAGCATCGGTTTTACAGATGAATCCGGGACTCAGAGCTCTAGGTCAGGTAACCTGCCCAAAGTCACACCTGGCCTGGCGAGGGTGGGGCAGCGTGGGTGTTAGAGCCCGGCGCTCAGCATCTCTCCTTACCCGGCCCCCTTCGTGTCCCCTCGCAGCACCTTTGGGACCTGGGCCAGGCCAAGAGGCTAGACTGGGGTGGAAAACACACTTAGCCTTACTATGCATAAGCTCCAGCTGCTGAGCGAATCAATAAAATACCCCTGAGCTGCCGGGAGCACCTGCGCAGGAAAGCCGGCGACTCGGCAGCCGCCCTCCCCCGGGCTGGCCTTCCCGCGGGGCATCATCCACACCCGGTAACTGAACCCACGACGGGAGTTGGCTCCTTGGTGAGTCACAAATACAGCAGGTGGAGTTGCTGCACAAAGGAAACTTTATTTGCATCAAATAAGATCACGGGCAATAACTTCCAGTAAGATCACATCAAATAAGATCACGGGCAATAACTCCCCGAGCAAGGGTGAATGGGTTCCTTTTGTTTAGGGTTAGGATGAATATTTAGGTAGGGGAGCCTTGGGGTCATCTGTAGAGGCGGGCATAAGGCCGCGCATGCGCCTTAAGGACACCTGCCGATACACACCTGTTATGTAAGGGAGGCTTGTGCTCCTCCTTGGGCGGAGATCTTGGTATTACAACGAGGTACAAGTAGTTGTCGGTCATTCTAGAGGTCACTCCGTGGTCATCGGCACAGGTGCGAGTGGGGCTGGGGGGCGGTTATGCTCAAACTGGCCTAGGCGGTCTTGTCCGGCTGGAGGTCTCGTCGGGGCGGTCGCTATAGTTCGAGGGGTGTTTTTGGTCTCCATTTGCCTGAGTTAAGAGAGAAGCCTGGAAGAAGAGCTTAAGGAAAAACGTGGGACAAGGGTCAGTGAGTACAAGCAGGTGGCAGTCAACGTCAGGCCTCGGGGGTCTAGCTGGTGACACCCCCAGCCCAGCGGGGGGTGGGGGGGCTGACCCTGAGTTAACCAGATCAGCTTCTGGCCGGCGCATACCTGACAGCCAGGATATGGCAGGGAAGGAGTCAGGGCACCATTTTTCAGGCCTGGGTGGGGACCACAGCACCCTAAACCAAGTCACCAAGGACTCAGGCCCTTTGCTGTCTTTGCCACCGTCTTGGCTTTCCTTCTGCGGCGTCTCCTCCCGCTGTCACAAGATGGTAGCCTCAGCTGCAAGCATCACTTCCTCACAAAGCTATGCAGGGTTGTTAAAACGCAGGAAGGAAGGAAGCTGGTTAGTGAGTAAGGAAGGGGTGGAGGAGTTTTCCCTCGTGTGTCTCGCCTTCAATCTGGTTATAAAACCTTCCCAGAACCGCCCGCCCCCAGCCGACGTCCTTTTATTATTTCTCACTGGCTGGCACTCGTTCACATGGCCCGCACGAGCCCAGTAACTGGCAAAAGGGAAAACGGGATGGTCAGTCATTGGCTTAGACCCGTGGTTCTCGGCCCTGGCTGAGCATTACATTCACCTGAGGGTTTTTTTTAAATTAATGTCAGTGCCTGGGCTCCACCCCCCAGGGATTCTGATTTCATTGGTCCGGGGTGGGGTCCAGGCATTGGGATGGTCCAAAAGCTCCCCAGGTGATTGTGCGGGCCGGCCGAAGTCGAGAACCGCAGACCTGACCAGTCCTGGTCCGTCGCCCGGGCGGGTTTGTTGCCCCTGGAGTAAGATCCAGGTGGGGGCCTGGAGGGCTGTGGGTGAGCAGCGAAGTGTGTGCCACCGCATTTTAGGTAAAGGAACTTGGAGCTGTGAGGCTCCAAGCAGCTGGAGGGTGTTAATATGGAAGGGGAAAAACTCTTCAATTATCCACGGCTCCACTTATCACCCTCTCACATTCCTTTAAATGCTTTGCTGTCCTGGCTTCTTACCTAATGATCCATCATTGTACACACTATCCAAACAGATGGATGTGCTGTCCTGTCCTTTTCAGCATGTCTCCCCTTGACCTCCCCCGGGGGAGGCCCCAAGATTTCATTCCGGTAGGCATTTAAGACACCTTGGTCTTTGTCCTTGACAAGATAAATGGACCCCCCCTTTTTTTTAAGGATTTTATTTATTTATTTGAGAAAGAGAGAGCATGAGAGGGGAGAGGGTCAGAGGGAGAAGCAGACCCCCCACTGAGCAGGGAGCTTGACGCAGGACCTGATCCCAGGACTCCGGGATCATGACCTGAGCTAAAGGCAGTCACTCAGCTGACTAAGCCACCAGGCGCCCCAGATGGACCCTTTGAATGAATTGAGGAAAGGAGGTAAGTGCACTGTAAACTAATAACCCAACGATCAGAAAGCTTTCTTTCTAAGGAAACCATCCAAACAGAAAAAGAAATGACCAGCTACCACCAAATCCCCACCAAAGCGTTTTCAAAGTCGTTCCATCTTAATCAGGATACTATGCCCCAAACGGCTTATGCATAAATATCATTCAAAGGAGAACCTCTTGCCTAAACACAGAACAGGCATTCGTTAAACATTGTTCCCACATAGACTTTCTCATTCAACAAAATCCATTTAAACCCCCCGGTCAGGGGCGCCTGGGCGGCTCAGTCAGTTAAGCGTCTGCCTTCAGCTCAGGTCGTGATCTCAGGGTCCTGGGATCAAGTCCTGCAACAGGTTCCCTGCTCAGTGGGGAGTCTGCTTCTCCCTCTCCCTCTGCCCCTCTTCCTGCTCTCTCTCTCTCTCAAATAAATAAATAAATAAGATCTTAAAAACTCCCGATCATAAGTCGAGGCAGGTGTTGTATTCAAGCCAGAGGGCTGGAAATTAGGATGCGGTATGTTTTTTTTAAAAACACACCCACATCCGGGGCGCCTGGGTAGCTCAGTCGTTAAGCGTCTGCCTTCGGCTCAGGTCATGGTCCCAGGGTCCTGGGATGGAGCCCCTCATCGGGCTCCCTGCTCGGCGGGAAGCCTGCTTCTTCCTCTCCCCCTCCCCCTGCTTGTGTTCCCTTTCTCGCTGTGTCTCTCTGTCAAATGAATAAATAAAAAAAAAACAACTTTAAAACACACCCACATCCAAATCCTATTATCCCCTTGTGAGGTTAGTGCTGCCTTTGATCAAGACGTAATTGGAGCTCCTCTGTGGGGCTGCCTTCCTGGGCAGGAACCCCTCAGGTGCTGGTGGATTTGGTGTTTAGGGAAAAATCAAGACTCCTCCAGTCTGGTGAGTGAGGCCGGGGAGGAGGCTGGCCCTACCAAAGTGAGGTGTGGCCACGAGATAGTTACAGAGTCATTCCTTAGGGCATAGGAAATCAGTTTTTATGTTAGGGGGTGGGAACCCAGGCTTTAGGCCTGACTCTCCTGGTTACTTCTTGATTGACAAGAAGTATCTTGTCAATAGGCAAGCCCCTAAACCTTTTTGGCTTTAGTGTTCTTGCCGGTAAGAACAGAGGTTAAGAGGATTTCCGGGGTTTCTTGGAGCTAAGGGGAGGTGACGTTTATTGCATGCCTGTCTTGAGCACTGTGTTACTTGTTCCACGCGTGTTGTGTGGAGTTAGTCCTCATCGCAGGTGCATGAGGTACATAGCATCCCCGTTTGCAGATGGCGAAACAAACCCAGAGAGGTTGGGTAATTGTCAAGGCTAACACAGCCAGCGGATTGAAATCAGGTGCTATGTTGAAACTAGCGCCCCCAATTTTTTTTTTTAGAAATAATATAAACACATGGTGGAGAAAGAGTTTAAAAGTTATATAAGGATATAAAATACCCACCAGTCTTACTTTCCAGAAGCAGCCACATGTATTTCCTAGAAGAAATAACATTTCTTGCGGTATTTGTCTAGAAACGTTTTCTGCAAATTCAAACGTATTTTGCCCTCTTTGGGATAGTTAAATCTTTTTTTTAAGATTTTATTTATTTATTTGAGAGAGAGAGAGAGAGCACGAGAGGGAAGAGGGCAGAGGGAGAAGCAGACCCCCTGCTGAGCAGGGAGCCCAATGCGGGACTCGATCCCCGGACTCCAGGATCATGACCTGAGCCGAAGGCAGTTGCTTAACCAACTGAGCCACCCAGGTGCCCGGGATAGTTAAATCTTTTCAATTTTAATTCCTTAAAAATTTTTAATTGAGATAGAATTGACTGAGAACATCGTGTTAGTTTCAGGGCCACGGCATAGCGATTCCGTATTTGTGTCTATTGTGAAAGGATCACAGCCTAGTTAACCCGTCACCACGTGCAGTTACCATGTTTCTCCTTGTGATGAGGACTTTTAGGATCTACTCTCTTACCAACCTTGAAATATGCCATACAGTATTATTAACGACAGTCACCGTGCTGTACACCACATCTCCATGAATCCCTCATTTTAGACCTGGAAGTTTGTGCCTTACGACCGCCCTTCACCCGTTTCTGTCCATGAGTTTGTTTTTAGATTCCACATCTAAGGAAGGTCCTACGGTATTTGTCTTTCTCTGACTTCTTTCTTTTTTTTTTTTTTTTTAAAGATTTTATTTATTTATTTGAGAGAGAGAGAATGAGAGAGAGCACATGAGAGGGGGGAGGGTCAGAGGGAGAAGCAGACTCCCTGCCGAGCAGGGAGCCCGATGCGGGACTCGATCCCGGGACTCCAGGATCATGACCTGAGCCGAAGGCAGTCGCCCAACCAACTGAGCCACCCAGGCGCCCTCTCTGACTTATTTCATAGGCATAATGTCCTCAAGGTCCCTCCAGACTCCCACAAGGGACAAGATTTCCTTCTGGTTTATGGCTGACTGATAGCCCACTGTATATAGACGAGCCAAGTTGCCTCTGTGCATTCAGCCCTTGATGGGCGCTTGGGTGGCTCCCACGCACTGGCCATTGTGAATAATGTTGCAGTGCACGTGGGGGAGCAGATCTCTTTTTGAGTTAGTGTGTTTGTTTCCTTTGCATAAGTACCCAGAAGTGGAATTCCCGGATCATATGGCAGCTCTATTTTTAATTTTTTTGAGGCACCGCCACACCATTTTCCATCAAGTGGCCGCACCAGTTTCCATTCTCCCCATTTGTAGGCAGTCGCGGTGCTTGGCTGTACTGGATTTCTGCTCCTATCTACTCAAGTCCAGAAACCTGATAGTGACGATGAGATTATCCAAAACGTGACTTTGAAGAAGGTGGTGAAGAGAATTCACAAGTTCCAGATTCTCAATCACTATTTTGGTTTTTTCTTTTTTTAATATTTTATTTATTTATTTGCCCGAGAGAGAGAGAGAGAAAGAGAGAAAGCACAAGCAGGGGGAGTGGCAGGCAGAGGGAGAGGGAGAAGCAGACTCCCCGCTGAGCAGGGAGCCCGATGCGGGGCTCCATCCTGAGACCCCGGGATCACGACCCGAGCTGAAGGCAGATGCTTAACCCACTGAGCCACTCCGGCGTATCTAAACCACTGTTTTGGAGAAGTACTTGAAGTCGGTCAGGCGCTGCAGAGAACACACCCGGAGAACTTGTTCGCTGCTTTCTGGCCCCCTCACCACCAGTTCCTGGCCACCGGCCAAGGGCCCGAATAGCACCTGTGTTTGAAGAGTCTCCGGACGGACTGCATTTAACAACTAATAAGGACATGTTTTTCTTTCCGTAAACCAGTTAGTTAGATTTTTAGGAACTTTTTCAGTATCTCTGTGCCTGTTAAAGAGGGGAGGGGAGGTTGCTTTTCGCTCTAAAACTTTAGTTTTCAAAAAATGTGGACTTTTTCTCGACTAAAATTGTATATGCTCTTTGGTAATTTGAAAGTCTGAGAATACCGGCTGCTGACTGTTGCCATCCTCTTCTCACAAAATTATTTTCCATTTTTCTATGGAATGTTCCAACAGCTAACAGTGTCTAAAGTGCTGCCGAGCTCAAGCATTTGTCCTTTAGAAGGATCGGTAATGTTTAGGGAAAGATTTATGGGCTTAAGCCTGGAACTGAATGCCTGCTCACTGTAATAAATCTGTACCTGTTCATACTAAACTTACTGATGAATTATTGAGCTTTTGCTTAGGGGTTTTTCTGATGGTCTTTTATGAATAATCTTTTCTAAGGCACTGTTCCCTTGCCTTTTTTGTACCAGTATTTCAGAAACTAGTGGACTCGATTCCTCTGCTTCCACTAAATCCAGTTGTGACAAAATCTTATTTGTGACGTATGATCTAAAGGTTATAGAAATAGGGGCGCCTGGGTGGCTCAGTCGGTTGAGCATCCGAGTCTTGATTTCGGCTCAGGTCGTGATCTCAGGGTCGTGAGATCGAGCCCCACGTCAGGCTCCGTGCTCAGCGGGGACTCTGCCGGAGATTCTCTCTCCCTCTTCCCTCTGCCACTCCCCTTCTCTGAAAAATATAAATTAAATAAAATGTATTTAGTTTTTAAAAAAAAATAAAGGTTACGGAAATAAAATAATGAAACCTAGTAAAACACCATAGGAGTGTATTATAACATATTTAACTAGTTCCTAGTCCCAATATGTCATTGCTACATTTTTAATAGTGTTGTGTGCACACATGTAAGTGTATCTCTGAGAAAAACAGCTACAGTAGGGTGACCCTTATGTGGCCAAGGGTGGTGTACATGTTTTGCATTTTGAGAGGTGAAGTTCTTCAAGGTTGTACCAGTGTTCAACTCCCCGCAGCTGTTTCTGGGAGTGTCTGTTTCCCAGACTTTCCCCAGCGTGGATTTTGCCAAATGGTTTCATTTTGGCTAGTGTGGCGGGTGGAAAAGCGCTTCCTCCCCGAACCCTGCCTCTCTCTGACCCCACAGCGCGTCTCAGACGGTGAAGGAGCGCCCATACCTTGGGTTGTGGTGACCAGGATGCCTGGATGAAATCGCCTTCTTAGCCCTCCTGCAGCCCCCGTGTATTTGGCAAGCGGCATTCCTGTGATCCTTTTGAAGGACTGGATACACTTTGAAACAAAAACGATCACCTTTTCATGAAGCCACACCGATGCACGCCGGCGGCTTTAGCAAGCTCCTTGTCAGGATGGCCTTCTGGTGCTGACGCCGGGGGTCGTACCTGTGGACTGGAGCTTCCGCTATTTCAGGACACTCTCACTGGGGGAATGTGGCTGATTTTCAATAAGGTTTAACCCTTGCTCCATTTTTCTCTGTGCTCCTGAGAGCCCTCTTCGTAGTCTGGGGTGGGGGCGGGGGTGGGGGGCAGAAGTGCCCATTTGCAGTTGTCGAGACAGGATTCAGAGGGTTTTCGAAGAGGTTTTTTTTTAGCCTCGGCAGAGATTTTCTTCCCATGAATACAAATGTAATATAAATAGTCCGCGCGATGCTTTTAAAAAACATTTATAAGAACCTGGCTTAAAATTCCTCAGTCTGCCTTTTCTCAGGCTGCCCTCCGCCTGAACAGCCGAGAGAAGAATAGAAACTAAAAAAGCTAAGCTGGTCTCGCTTTTGTGGCCCTGCTGGCCCAGTTGAACAAGGTGACTTAGAAATGAACCCCTCTGTGCCTCTCTGCCAGGTCTCCTGGCTCCTCAGCCTCTTACCCCGAAGTGGAGCTGAAGGAATCTGCTCTGTTGAAAGAGACATTTCTGCCTCCGTGCGGTATGGGATCAGCACAGTAAGGACTAAGAAACAGCCCTGGCCCAGGTTCAAGAGCACGGGGAAGTGGAGAACCGTTTGGGAGCTGAACAGGAAGCAGTCTCAGTTGGAGAAAAGTCGCAGAGCTCAGTGATGCCTTCATGAGAATTGGAGCCCTTCAGCTTTGCTCCCCGCCCCCCCTCCCCCCCACCCCCAGCCTGCAGGCACCACGCCAGCGTCCGTCCGGGTGTGACATCTGCAGCTGGCCTCGGTCACATTAAAGACCGTCGTGCGGGATGCCGAGCAGAAACTGGGGCATCAGCCGACAGTGGATAGTTTTCAGTTAGGGGGTTAAGAGGCGGTAAGGGACGACCACCACGTTTGACCTCGAGGACCACCGTGTTCAGGGTGAGCAGACTCCCCTCCCCTGAAATCAACGCGAGTGGCAAGGAGCTTTGCCGTAGAGCGACATTCTGGAAACAGCCACTGAGGCAGACGGGGTTTTGCGCGTGGAATGGAAGCCCTTTCTGTTAAGCCTTTCAGGCAGGTGTTCAGAGGAGCCCCAGAAGGCACAGGGCGCGCCGTGAGGACGCAGGGCAGTCCCCGGGCCCTGCCAGCAAGAGGCCTCAAATCTGGCCTGACATGCACAATGTCTAGAGGGCCAGTTGGGAGAGGTGAATGTTGTGTGATGGACGTCCCTTGGTCATGGCAACCAGCAGGCTGGAAGCAGAGAAACCAGCCATAACAGAAAGTCAGAAATAGAACAACGACAGAATCATTTGTGAGGTATGGGGAGCAGGTAGGGGCTCGAGACTGTGCGTTCTTTTGTAGAGATGACAAACTGAGGGACGGTAGGAGCAGCCCCCACATGAACTTGGGGGGCTAACTGAAGCAGTTCTTAGAGAACATACAGCTCAGGGGAGCAGTAGGGAAAAAGGCTCCAGAGCTTTTGAGGTCACTCTCCCCCCATGACTGAGACCAGGCTTGACGGGAGAGGGCTCGTCACGGCTGCAGAGAGATTATGGGAACAGTAAGCCAAAAAGACTAAAACCAAGATAATGTTTTTAAAAATAGGACTTCCGAGACTCTTAACTCTGGGAAACAAACTGAGGGCTGCTGGGTGGGTGGGGAGGTGGGTGGGGGGCTGGGGTAACGGGGGGATGGGCACGGAGGAGGGCACGGGTTGGGGTGAGCACTGGGTGTGATACGCAGCTGATAGTTTAGTGAACACTACACCTGAAACTAGTGATGTACTATCAGTTGGCTAATTGAATTTAAATTAAAAAACCAAAACAGACAAAAATAGGACTCCTTTCATACAGCCCAGAGCTGGCATATGTTGAATATTCGGATTTTAAGAGCAATAAAAGTAGATGCTGTTTCTTGCTCTAATAAAGGGTATCACCAACAGGGATGTAATAAAGGAAAATAATACATTTTTCAGGTTCTGCAAACAACTGTTGCCTTTCTGTGCACTCTGCCCCCCTCCCCCCGCCTCCCCCAGCTAGGGATGGCAAGGGGGGGACTGTTTTGCAAAGAAGAGAGACGGTTGGCTGAAAAGAAACACACACAAACACACCCTGCCAAAGAACAACAGAATTCCTAGCATTATTGAATGCCTTTTAAATTTATTTTTGTTCTATTTTTATTTCTCAGCAAAGGGAAAGTGAAATAGTTTCGAGCTCCAGAGAAATTCATGCCCTGGTCCTAAATATGGCAATCTCTGGCGGTCCTGCGGGCCCGGGAGAGGACTGGTTTACCCGCTCCGACCTCCCGTGCCAAAATGAACCTGCTCTCAGCTGCTGTGCCATTTGCTTTTTAAAGATGTATTTATTTATTTGGGAGAGCGAGAATGAGCGAATGAGCCGGGGTGGGGGGTGCAGAGAGAGAGAGGGAGAGAATCTCGAGCAGACTTCCCAGCTGAGTGCAGAGACCCACCCCAGGGACCCCCTCCACTCCCCCAACCTTCATCCACTCCATTAACCAATAGCCCCTGTGGGGGCCAGAGGGCTGCCTGAATGACAGATCCAAGCTCCGGCACTTCCTAGCCCCGAGCCCCCACTAACCGGGGCTGCCCCCACTTGGTAGATGACAAACATCTGCAGGTGGGCGAGCAAATGCATATTATAAGATACTGACTCAGTTCCTTTATTTGAGTCAGGAACGACTTTACTCACAAAAGCAATTATGTATGCCAATTAAAATTATACCTCGGAGCAGCTCAATGAAAGGAAAAATCAAAAGCCAACTAAGCAGACTCAGCTGTTCCCAAGTTTCATAAATACTGTTTTGGAGCATATTCATTTTGTTCTCGAGTGAGCTCAGAAACTTGGGATGTTTTTCGCTGGGGGTGGGCATGATCAAACTGGAAGCATGTTATTATTTTATCCTGTCCTATTGAGGAAATAAATGGCCATTTCATTTTGGCCCTGGCTGACTCTGGGGCTTGACCAATGAATGACTCGCATGGGTTGAGGTTTTCCTTGGATTTCTAGAGCAGAGAAGTGAGTCCTTTTCTCTCCCTGTGAGTGGCGAGGGGGTGGAGGGCAGCTCAGCTCCACCTGGGCTGCCCACGTCCCAGCAAGTGGCTTCTCCCCTAGTTTCTCCCCCTGCTCCCCAGGCAAGAGTTCTGTTTGTGGGTTTTTTTCTTTAACTCCGTTTTCACCTGAAGTGAGAGTTGTTTTAAGTAGTAAGTATGACTAGTGCAAATGTACTGGTAACACCCCCCCCCACACTTAATTTTTCACACGGAAAGTCTGGAAATAATTTATAACATTTATGCTATTTAAGTACATTTCTAGGCAATTTGGGGGGTGCGGTTGCATGAGCTAACTAAATGTTTCCTATGACATTTCGCTTGAGCGTCACAGTGAGGGAAAGCTCGCACTTTGACATTTCTGGGTTTTCAAGTAGTATTTTCACATTATCCCCAAGCAGCTCCCTTAAAAAAGAAAAAAAAAAAAACAACCACCCAACTTGATGGCCCCATTGTCGTAAACACTGTCAGTCATTTCCGTTTTCCTTAGCACCGCATTTCACCGATTTGAGGTGAAAACAGGAAGGTTAAGAAAGCTTCGCGGGGGTTAACAGATGATCTTGGGCAGGAACCTCATCCCCAGAGGGTGGGGCCGGGGGAGGATGTTGGGAGAAGCCCCCGCGAGGAGACGTGGCCGCCGAAGAGGAGGCTAACGCCCGTGCTCGGCCCACTTGTCCTGGACTGGGTCCAGGAGGAAGGCCCTTACAATGGGCCGGAGAGTAATTCGCCCGTGGTGAGGGGCCCGGCTGAATACCCGGAAATCTCAGCCCAAGCCCCAAGCCCCAGGGCCCGGCCCCGGCTCGGAGCATCTGCGAAGCGGCTTTCGGTCGTCCACGCCGGCTGCCTCACCTGGCACACGTGGGTGGACAGCGGCGGGGGGCGGGGGGGGTACCCCCGGAGGCGACGCTGAGAAGCACTTGGAAGAAGGGCGGCTGAAAATCTCCCAGTGCAATTGGAGGAGGGAAGTGAGGTGTCCGTGTAAAGCTGGCAGATGCCCTCGGAGGGGCTGGGCCGGGGGGCGGGGGCCGGGGGGCCGGGGGGGCGGGGGCCGGGTTCCTGCCTCCCAACCCGGTGAGGGAGGCCGCCGAGAGCGGCGGGGCTGCGCGTTCCTCTGGGCGACTCGAATGTTCTCAAACTTGAAGGCCAGCAGGAAGGCGATTCTTCCTCCTCCCCCATCCCGGCCTCGAAGGTCGACAAAAGTGTGATTAAAATGCTACGAGTGTCTTCCCGAGTTACTGCACCGTAGCGCCCGGAGCCTCCGCCGAGCCAGCTGCCTGCGGGGCGCAGTGGGGCTCCGCTCCCTTGGAGGGCAGCCAGGCTCTCGGTGGTCGGGCAGCCCGCCGCCTTTAGGGCCCCCGGCTGGTCATTTAAAGACCAGGGGAACTGTCGCAAAGGAGGTCAGATACACCCAGGTCTTTGGAGTATGACTTTGAATCTTTAAGTACATGATCGGTTTTGTTGTTGTTGTTGTTGTTTTAAAGTGCAAGCGAATTTGTGAATTGAGTATTAAGGAAAGACTTCGCACGTCAATGCCACCTATTTTGAAAACAACCCTTTTCGTGTGCTTCACCAAACAGTGATATACTGAAATCTCTAGAATTCTGTAAACTGATTGCACTAAGACTGTTTTATTATCTGTTTTCTGTTATCGTACAGGATAGGTCTTTTTATTTTTTAAAAAAGATTTTTATTTTCTTATGAGAGAGAGCACAAGCAGGGGGAGGGACAGAGGGAAAGGGAGAAGCAGACTCCCACCTGAGCAGGGAGCCCAGACGTGGGGCTTGATCCCAGGACCCTGGGATCATGACCTGAGCGGAAGGCAGATGCTTACTTAACCCACTGAGGACCCGGGCGCCCTTAATCTTGAGATTCTTAAAGATTCTCAGTAGTGTGTAGGGTAAGCCTCCTTCCTTGTCTTGGCTGTTATAAATAATGCTGCAATGAACATGGAGATGCGTATATCTTTTTGAGTTAGTATTTTCATTTTCTTTGGATAAATACCCAGAAATGGAATTGCTGGATCTCCTGCTTCTCCCTCTCCCTCTCCCTCTGCCTGCTGCTCTGCCTACTTGTGCTCTGTCAAATAATTAAAAATTAAAAAAAAATCTTTAAAAAAGAATATCCAGAAGGGTCTACACTCATTTCAGGTGCTGGAGGCAGTAGCAAACATTTTTATTTTCCCCAGATTCTGGGTAAATGGGAATTGTTTCAACCAAGAAGTTTAGTAGCTTCAAATTTAATTCTTCATTGTCAAACGCCCAGCAGCTGAAAAAAAAGGGGGGGAGCAATGCTAGGTACTTGGTCACTGTAGCTTGCTGGTAAACCAAGGGTCTGGTTTTTAAATTTGCCCACAAAGTTGAATACTTCATAGCTTCAAATGAACAGGGCCCCAAAGTAGTACGAAGAGTGAGATCTGGAGTGAATTAAAATTTTAATCCTGTATCTAAGACACTGGGACTTAAGAATTTGGGGGAACATCACATTAAGAATTCATGGGTATGCTTATGTTTTATTTTATTTTTTTAAATCTTTTTTTTTTAAGGTTTTATTTATTTATCTGAGAGAGAGAATGGGAGACAGAGAGCATGAGAGGGGGAGGGTCAGAGGGAGAAGCAGACTCCCTGCTGAGCGGGGAGCCCGATGTGGGACTTGATCCCGGGACTCCAGGATCATGACCTGAGCCGAAGGCAGTCGCTTAACCAACTGAGCCACCCAGGTGCCCCGGGTATGCTTATGTTTTAAACGCAACCCAAGGGGCACCTGGGCGGCTCAGTCGGTTGAGCATCCAACTCTTGATTTCCGGCTCAGGTCATGATCTCAGGGCTCTCTCTTTGGGCTCTGCGCTCAGTGGGGAGTCTGTTTAAATTCTCTCTCTCCCTCTCCCACCCCCCCACTTTTGTGCACGTACTCTCTCTCTCAAAAACAAAAACAAACAAACAGAAAACCAAACAAAAAAACCCAAAACCCACAACCCGAAATAATGGGAAAATGTTAGGAAATTAACTGAGAGGTTTTTTAGGTTCTACTTGGGGGGCTGTAGGCTCCATGGAGGCAGACGTCAGAACTGGAAGGTATATGCTGAGCATCCCCGCCCTGGTTCAGTGACGTTCAGGAACTCTGGGAGGACAGGAACCCATTTCCAGTGTGAAGAAGGAAGGGGCCTTGTCAGGTTGCTGTGGGCACACTGTGGGCTGCCCAGCTTGGATTAGCGGGACTTCAGCACAGTTGTTCACGGACCCCCGAGAGGCAGTCACAGAGTTTTCAGAGCTCCTCTCCTCCCACCTTCACCAGCCGGTGATTTGATTTAAAAAAAAAAAAAAATTGAACGTGAGTGAAAAGCAGCTTTCAGGTAGATAAAATGAATTTTTAAAAAGATTTTTAATAAAAGGATTTAGAGAGCACTTTGGGGTCCAGAGGTCGGGCTGGTACTATATCTCCATAAACGGGACATTTGTCAGGACACGGGCTCTGACCAGGCACCATTTCGCACTTGGCGAGCTACTGACAGAAAATCGTCCCGAGTTACTGCCACATTGTTGCTGGTCTTTAAAACAACCCAAATGGAGAGCTGAACACATGGCACAAAGAAACGGTGGCAGAGGACCATTTTTTAAATTCGAAATAATTATTGACTCCTAGGAAGTTGCAAAGACAGTAAAGGGAGGTCCAGAGCATCCTTCACCTAGCTTTTCCCAGAGGTCGCATCTTTCACGTAGGTCACTATCAACACCAGGAAGTTGACCTTGGTACGGCCTATAGACCCCAGTTTTCAACGGTTTTTACATGCCCTCATTCTGTGTGTATGTGTGCACACAGACCTGTGGAACCTGATCACGTATAGATATGTGTAAACACTACCACAATCAACATACAGAACTGTTCCACCAGCATAAAGAAAATCTCTTGGGCTACCCCTTTATAATCATAGACCCCACCCCATCCGACCTTTCCTTGGCAAACATTAAGCTCTTCACCATCTCTATAACTGTATAATTTCAAGATTGTTACATAAATGGAATCATGCAGTATGTGACCTTTTGAGGTCATCTGTTCTCCGCAGAATTCTCTGGAGGGTCACCAGGTTGTCACGTGTATCAATAGTTCATTCCTTTTCATTGCTGAGTAGTACTCCATGGTATGGATGTGCCACAGTTTAACCGTTAACCCACTGAAGGACATTTGTGTTGCTTCCGGTTTTTAGCTATTACAAATAAAGCTGCTGTGAATATTGGTGTATAGATTTTTGTGCGGACATAACATTTCCTTTCTCTGGGATGAACGCCCATGAGTGCAATTGCTAGATCATATGGTAAATACATGTTTAGTTTTTATAATAAACTACCCAACTGTTTTTGAGAGTGGCTGTACCATTTGACATTCCCACCAGCAGCGTATGAGAGATCAAATTTCTGTGCAGCCTCACCAGCATTTGGTATTGTCACTGTGTTGTGTTTTAGCTCTTCTATTAGGTATGTAGTGGTATGTCCTTGTAGTTTTCATTTGCATTTTCCCAATGGCTAGTGATACTGAACATCTTTTTGTCTGCCTATTTGCCATCCCTCTCTCCTTTTGGTGAAATGTTGGTTCAGGTGTTCTGCCCATTTCCTAACTGGATTGTTTGTTTTTTACTCTTGAATTTTGAGAGTTATTTATATATTCTAGATAAAAATCCTTTGGTAGATATGTGGTTGCAAATATTTTCTCCCAGTCTGTGTCTTGTGTTTTCATCCTCTTAACAAGATCTTTTGCAAACCAAAAGTTTGTAAATTTTGATGAGTTCCAACTTAACAATTTTTTCTTTTGTGGACTGTGCATTTTCTGCTGTGTCTCAGAACTCTGCCTAACCCGAGGGTCCTGAAGACTATCTCCTGTGTTTTCTGATAAACATTTTGTATGTTTTGTGTTTCCTTATAAATTTTAAGATAAACTTATCTCTATATACATTTAATTATATGATTCATTTTGTGTTAGTTTTTGTTTAAAGTGTGAGATTTAGGTAAAGGGTTAGTTTTTGCCTGTGGACGTCTTAACTGCTTCAGCACCATTTACTGAAAAGACTGTCATTCCTCCAATACATTGCTTTTTCATTTTTGGTCAAAAATCAGTTAGCCGTACACATAGGTAGGTCTATTTCTGGGCTTTTACTGCTCCATTGATCTATGAGTCTGTCCTTCCACCAATACCACACTGTTCTGATTAATGTAGTTATGTGTATCTTAACACTGAATAGAATGATTATTCCAAATTTATTCTTTTCCAGAAAGGTTTTAAGCTATTCTAGTTTCTTTGCCTTACCACATAAATTTTAGAATACGCTTGTCTATATCTACAAAAAGCATTGAGAGACTTTGATAGGAATTTTCTAAAATCTCTGTATAGGTCAATTTGGGGGAGAATTGACATCTTTACTATATAGATCAATTTGAGGGAAAAATGGACATCTTTTACTGTTGAGTCCTCTGATACATGAACATGGTTATGTGTCTCTATTGATTTAGATCTTGTTTGATTTCTTTTATTGGTGTTTTGTAGTTTTTAGCACATAAGTCCTTTACTTGTTAGATTTATATCTAAGTTTTTCATTTCTTTTGAGTGATTGTAAATAGTATGAGTTTTAAAATTCAGTTTTAAAATGTTCATTTCTGGTATATATAAATCATATAGATATTTAATATTGATCTTGCATCCTGCAAACTTGCTGAATTCACTTATTAGTCGTGTGTGTGTGTATTC